ATTCAAGCGCGAGTTTTGAGCAGTGTAGAGTAACGCTTGTTGTTTGTCGTTTCTCTGATAACAAATGCAGACATGGTTTTATATTTACGCGGCGCGATGCAACGCAACCCGTAAAAAGACAGTACAAGTCATTATAATGTGTAATTATGTCCCCACTGGATGGGGATGCAAATGCCTCATTTATAATGGGTTTTAAGGTTTTTGTCTCGTCGCTCCAGCCGTACAGGGCATCACAATATGGTAAGGGGTGTAACATTTCCGTCACACGCTTGAGGTATTCGGCCAATCACAACGCACTGGATAGCTGGCCAATCAGAGCACACCTCGCTTTTCAGACCGATGAGCTTTGTAAAAATCGACGCGTTTCAGAAAGGCGGGGCATAGAGGAGAAACAATAATGTACAGTATGTGGAAAATAATGTGTTTTTTTAACCTTAAACCGCATAAACACATTTCATTACACCAAATAATGTTCTTTTTAGCAGCATCATATGACCCCTTAAAGTGATGGTATAGGATTCTGTAGCAGTGTGATTTCAACTTTATTCAACAATTTTTTTAATTGCCAAAATCCCGGTGAAGAACTGCTCTTCACATAATACTGAAGAATGACCAATCACAGAAGTTTATGTTACCGTGGAAACAGAACTGCAGCAAAATAGCTTGGCAGCGACTGCTCATGCGCAGAAAACTTTTCAAATGACATAAGTATAGGGCTGCTGAGAATGTATTATATATAAAAATATCGCAAATAATCGCAAATGTACAAATCACAATATGCATTTGCATAGCAAACCAGTGTGAGGAGATAAGTCATCTATGTTGTTTATATCACTTTTTAAATATAATTTCAATGTATTTTACACACCTACAGCATTGTATTGCATTTCATATTATTTAACAAGTTATCACATATCATATTTTTCTTCATTATCATGCAGCCCTAAAAATGGTTATAGTGTTAATAACTTAAAGCTATTAACAGTATACTGTACTATCGATCGTATTGTATTTTTGAATCTGCATGCTGTAACATGCCAGCAAACATACCATACCAGCATTTACGGCAGGAATAATACAGAATAGTAGTACGCTATTCTGAACATTGCATATCTATTTTTCTGGTTTTCAAAAACATGTAATGCTTAGAATCAAATGCTGTAATGTTGTGATTCCTTTTGAAATGCCTATGAAGAAAAAGAATGGGAAAACTATTTCAAGAAGCAATGCAGCTGAAAACGTGTGCCATCACTGTTGTGCTTGAATATCACTTTTTCAAAATGTGATGAGATTTTAAAATGCCAGTCCAGGCATTAAAGAATTAATATGCAGTGGAAACACATGATGTTGTTTGTATAGCACTGGCTGCATAAACAGTCTAACGCTGGTGGCGGCAGCAGTGGAGTTAGTCCTGCTGTGATATTCATATTAAGACCAGTCGGCTCTTGTCTACAGTCACACATTGCTGAACATCACAGAAGAAAATAAGGAATTGCTTGCATTCTACAGACTGTCTGCTGCCGGTTTTATAAAGGACACTGCTACTTTTTCAACAGTGAAAAAAAACACATTAACTCTTTTGTATTAAGCAGGTTATTTCTTATGAGGCAGGGAACAAAATGGGGGAAAATCTATTTCTACAGCTCAAAAATGGTAGCAGGCAGCCTGATAAGATCAGCAACATTTTTTGGGACGCAGGTGTGGTGAACAAAAATATGTTTAGTATAACGTCAATGCATACGCTTCATATTAGGCTTTACAATGCCTGTACTATTATTGGAACAATACTATTTTCCCTACAATGTCAAAATATTTAACTACGTAAATAATTGTCCACCAAACCAGTGTTACTGTTAACAATTTTAAAAAATTATAAAGACTGATATACAGAGATCATGCAATCCTTATAAATAGTGATATTAAAACATTTTAGGAATAATATTAAGAAATGTGCATTGTGCGATGAAGAAACAATGCAAATAATGTTTATATCAGTAAGTCTTATGTGATATGTCAATAAATATGTTAATGGATTTTATGTTTACACTGTACTTAGTATGAAATAAATGTATTTTAAATAAATTATGGCATAAGATTTTTTTACTAGGGTAAAATAACACTGCACCAAACACGACACAGTCTTTCAGTCTGTTCTATTTTTTATGCTTTTCTCATAGTATACAATCAAAATGTAATAAAAACTACATCTACAGTATTCCTTTATGAAAAATAGATTTTTAAACACAATGGTGACACAAACCAGGCTTTGTCAAGCTGTGCAAGCTAGAACAAATGTCTTGACAAAGTTTACTTTTCAAGATGTTTTTTTTTAAATGCCAGCAAAAGACGCATTTCAAATAATTACATGTACTGGTAATAATAAAATCGCAATACACTAACTTAGCCTCACTCAACCAATCAGATTTTAGATCAAGAACTCTTCACGTTACAATACAATTTTCAGAAATGGGACCATATCATAATGTCCTTGTCAAATATGAAAGTGAATAATACCTTTCAGTTACTTAAAGGCACCAGGTGCACAGGCTGAACTTTGACCTCTCACCTCCTGCTGTGTGATGTCCAGGATGCGCTCCAGGGTTAACTCCTCAAAGTACAGACGGTCACACTCATCAAAGTCCGTACTGACCGTCTCTGGGTTATGGTTCACCACCACTGTATGCTTGCCCATCTGTCTAAGGGCACGAATGCTTGACACCGCACACCAGTCAAACTCCACACTGCTGCCTGTGGTGGGGTAGAGTGAAACGCTGCCCTGACCCACTCTTGCACTAATTGCTCATTAAAACTAATGAAGATTATACATGAATGTGTTGGTGAAATGAAAATCAGAGGATGATCAGGTAAAAAAAGATTTGATCTCACCAATGTGATATGGACCACAACCCACAATCATGATACCACGATCCTTAAAATCCAAGTCATGCTCCTGTTAGAAGGACAAACCAAAATTGGGTTCATCCTCACACATATACATACCACAAGCTCCAATCTTCATAATGAATTGTAAAATTGTAATTTTATTTTATGTCACGTCATGTCACGAGTGCCAACTTCCACAATGAATTTCAAAACTGTATTAATTTATTAAATTTATTTACAGATTTTTGTGTTTTGGTTTTGTTTAATTTTAAATTAAACAATTGTAATAATTTTAAATAATTTTAGATTAAATAATTTTTTTAAATCTTATTTTCCCTTTTCAACTTATTTATTTATTAAATCCACCTTATTTTCTGTATTGTGCATTTAGGTGCTCTAATGATTTAGAAATACTGTAAATGTTAACAATCATGCTACTAAAGCTTTCCCTTAGTTTCTCTTGTGTAATAAAATTGTCTAGAAAAATACTGTGGAAAAGTCTAGACGGGGAACTGGACAAAATGCCCGATGCTTCAACCATCAAAGACCCTATATAAAGGTTGGACAGAGTGGTTTACCTGACCATGGTAAGTGCAATACAAATAATTGGTGGCTGCAGGGTATTCAGCAGCAAGTGTATCAATCTGAAAGTAAGCACAAGAAACATTTATCATGAAGCAAAGGTCATTATAATCAAACAGATATTTCTGGCAATGGGTTCAAACCTGTTTGACACAAGGTCTGATGTTCTGGTTGAGCCTGAGCACCCGAGCTTCTCCCTCTGAGATGTTCATAGCCTGGCCAACCTGTCGGTCTGAGAAACCATCCATCTTGGCCTTCAGAAGTAGATCTCTCGGCACTGTGGCGCTGAGGGCGGAAAATGGGTTAAGAAACTCAAGACATACAGTATGCGCTGACCCTAAAACTTAGAATATTAACTATTTATTTCACTGTACTGCTTGGTTACAGAGCGTTTTCTAAGCTGTTTTTTTTTTTTTTTTTTAAATACATGCAAAATCATTAGAGGAAAAATGTTTTTAAGATAAATAGCAAACTGTGAACCTTTGATCATCAGAAAGTTCAAGCTTCAGTGTACATGGAAGGAAAGAAAATATAAAAAAAGAAAAATCCTGGCTAAAGATGCTTAATACTTATTTTTAAATCAATACAACATTTGAACAAAGATCAAACGGAACTGGAATCAAAACTTGTGGATTTTTCTTCCTTAACATTCATTTTTTATAAGCTCTGTATAGACATAAAACAATTCAGGTGATTAAAACTCTTTGATCTATTCTCATATAAAAAATAGCTAAAAAAACTCAGCAAGCCCTCAGTATATGTACTGGTCCGGGTTTAAATCTGACCATTGTTTATTAAAGTAAAGAGCATTAAAACCAGCAGGAGTGTGAGACAGTAGAGTGTCAGTAGCAATGGACAGAGACAACCAGTCCTCACTATCCCACGCACCAAATGGGAGACTTCACACCATACTGTGCTTAAAGAGGTCAGCGCTCACCTGAAAGTAGTCTATTGGTTAAATATCAGAGTTGTAACTGAAAACCTGAAGGTTCAATCTTAGATTTTTGAGTCCTTAACTACAGAACGAGCTCGAGCTCAGGTTATGCTCTAGACCAGGGGTACTCAAGTTCAGAGGCCAAGCGGGCTGCATTTAAACCACATAAAATGTGAAGGGCCTTGTCCTTGTCCTATTTGGGGCACATTTGTCCTACTTGTCCTAAGTTTGTTTTGCTATATTGATGCAAAAAATGCATTCATACTCAAACAGTGTAATGAACAAACTCCAAATGCTAAAACTCAAAAAATTCTTGAGCAAATATAGTTCACAAATTTCTTTACTTGAAGTATTATTTTTCATATTTAAGCCCAAATAAAGGGCGGAGTGCACATCACCGAACACTAAACACATGTAAACCGTTTCATTCATACATCATACTGGCGCGCAGAAACTCCACATATGAATCACAGAAGTGAAAGAACTGATGGGGCTCCAGAAAATCCCTAATATGGGCAAAGGTATACAGCTACCGCTGTAACTAAACAAAATGAAGATAAGCGCTTGAACTGATGAAGACGGGAAAAAAAAAAAAACTACGTGACAATTTGGTTTATCTGTGTTCTTCAAGTTATCTCTGGTATTTTCATAATAAAGTAAATTTATAATCCAATGCTAATTGACATAGCCTTTATTACACTATTGAATATTTTCTGCCTCGTTCTGTGACAAAAAGCACACATCAGATCACAAAATAAAGTCATTTTAAACACTCAACTGATGTTGATGTTGAGTAAAATCATGTTATTAAATGTCCTCTTTTGTTGGACAACGCTACATTTAATTAATAATAATTTAATAAATATATTTACGTAAAATCAAACTGCCTAATATTTTGAGCGCAAATTGTAATAAAAATACATTATCCTTCAGCATGAAGCAGGCCTGTTGAGTACCCTGGCTCTAGACCAGGGGTGCCCAAACTCGATCCTGGAGGGCCAGTGTCCTGCAGATTTTAGCTCCAACCCCAATTAAACACACCTGAAGCAGCTAATCAAGCTCTTATAGGCATACTAGAAACTTACCAGCAGGTGTGTTGAGGCAAGTTGGAGCTAAACTCTGCAGGACACCGGCCCTCCAGGACCGAGTTTGGGCACCCCTGCTCTAGACGGTGGCTATGCTTTTAAGCTATACTCTGAGCAAGTGTTCTATCAGAATATGGCTTGAGTGAATCTGAGAAGTAGGCAAAGTACTGGAAATTGGTTGTCAGGAACAACCAGTCAATTATACACTTCAGTGGTCATTAAACAAAAATGTATGACCACACCTGAATTGCACCCGACCGATCAGAATCAAGATCCTGTATATTAATGCATTATGCATTAAGTTACACAATGATTTTGCATGATATTTTGATATTTATAGAACCATTAAGATATTTTGCATTGAAGCATTATGTTTTACAACTAAACCTATTTTTTATCCCAAATTCTCATAATTATAATGCATCCAGACATTTTTCTTTTTTTGTAATACAGCCATTTTTAAAGGGGTCCTATTATGCTTTTTCACTTTTTGAATTTTAGTCAGACCTGAAGGTTCAATCTTAGATTTTTGAGTCCTTAACTACAGAACGAGCTCGAGCTCAGGTTATGCTCTAGACCAGGGGTACTCAAGTTCAGAGGCCAAGCGGGCTGCATTTAAACCACATAAAATGTGAAGGGCCTTGTCCTTGTCCTATTTGGGGCACATTTGTCCTACTTGTCCTAAGTTTGTTTTGCTATATTGATGCAAAAAATGCATTCATACTCAAACAGTGTAATGAACAAACTCCAAATGCTAAAACTCAAAAAATTCTTGAGCAAATATAGTTCACAAATTTCTTTACTTGAAGTATTATTTTTCATATTTAAGCCCAAATAAAGGGCGGAGTGCACATCACCGAACACTAAACACATGTAAACCGTTTCATTCATACATCATACTGGCGCGCAGAAACTCCACATATGAATCACAGAAGTGAAAGAACTGATGGGGCTCCAGAAAATCCCTAATATGGGCAAAGGTATACAGCTACCGCTGTAACTAAACAAAATGAAGATAAGCGCTTGAACTGATGAAGACGGAAAAAAAAAAAACTACGTGACAATTTGGTTTATCTGTGTTCTTCAAGTTATCTCTGGTATTTTCATAATAAAGTAAATTTATAATCCAATGCTAATTGACATAGCCTTTATTACACTATTGAATATTTTCTGCCTCGTTCTGTGACAAAAAGCACACATCAGATCACAAAATAAAGTCATTTTAAACACTCAACTGATGTTGATGTTGAGTAAAATCATGTTATTAAATGTCCTCTTTTGTTGGACAACGCTACATTTAATTAATAATAATTTAATAAATATATTTACGTAAAATCAAACTGCCTAATATTTTGAGCGCAAATTGTAATAAAAATACATTATCCTTCAGCATGAAGCAGGCCTGTTGAGTACCCTGGCTCTAGACCAGGGGTGCCCAAACTCGATCCTGGAGGGCCAGTGTCCTGCAGATTTTAGCTCCAACCCCAATTAAACACACCTGAAGCAGCTAATCAAGCTCTTATAGGCATACTAGAAACTTACCAGCAGGTGTGTTGAGGCAAGTTGGAGCTAAACTCTGCAGGACACCGGCCCTCCAGGACCGAGTTTGGGCACCCCTGCTCTAGACGGTGGCTATGCTTTTAAGCTATACTCTGAGCAAGTGTTCTATCAGAATATGGCTTGAGTGAATCTGAGAAGTAGGCAAAGTACTGGAAATTGGTTGTCAGGAACAACCAGTCAATTATACACTTCAGTGGTCATTAAACAAAAATGTATGACCACACCTGAATTGCACCCGACCGATCAGAATCAAGATCCTGTATATTAATGCATTATGCATTAAGTTACACAATGATTTTGCATGATATTTTGATATTTATAGAACCATTAAGATATTTTGCATTGAAGCATTATGTTTTACAACTAAACCTATTTTTTATCCCAAATTATAATGCATATAATGCATCCAGACATTTTTCTTTTTTTGTAATACAGCCATTTTTAAAGGGGTCCTATTCACTTTTTGCACTTTTTGAATTTTAGTCAGTGTGTAGTGTGTATGTTTGGGCATAAAAAAGATCTTCAAACTTTCAAATCTCAAAGTCCACTCCAAAGGGAGATATTTCGTTTTTTTAAAAATCCCTTTTCAAGAACTACAACGAACACAGCATTTGTTTTCCGGGTTTTGTGATATCACAAAGCGGCCCATTAAAATATCATTAAAATAATTCCCGCCTACGGAAATTCGAATGGTTGGGGGGTGGGGAGGGGCGAGGTCGTGGTTAGAACGCTTGGTTGAGTGCATCAGACAAGACAACTACGAAGAAGTGCTGCTGTAGCCTCAAGTCTTCGCAAGTTATTACACTGTCATGCACCTGAATAATTATGTATGTAAATATGTATGTTACAATTATGAAAACGTTTTTATAATAAATTGCTGACAGTACAATACTGGACAATGATGTAATCTGCAGAATTTACACTTCAATTATGAGACTACAGTGTTTCCCATAAATTGAGTGCGGGTGTTTTTATATCACTGTATTTCTGAAGGAAACCAACTGTCTTCAGAAAATTGGATGTCATTTTCATTTAATCTTGCATGCAATGTCTGATAAAGCAGTGTTTTTTGAGCGGAGCACTGCTTTGTGTACAGCCGTTACCGGGGAAACCTTGATCTCTACCACTCCAACAGCGCCTCCTGCTGGCAGAGAATGAGTTTGCATATATATATATATATATATATATATATATATATATATACCGCCTGGGAAACACTGGACTATGGTATATAAATAAATTCAACTGTATAACAGTTTCACTGCAATTCATGTTATAATGTTACAATTAAATAACAATAAAAAATAGTACATATGCACTTATCTGTACATAGTAAATGCAGTTATTTTTAAGCAGTTGTTGACATCCTATATAAAACATGATTTAGGCTGGGCTGGTCCTTAACTAAACTTGCTGCTTTGGCAGGGGGTGGGGCAGTACTGAAACACCGTCTAAGCTGTTCGCCAATCACAACGCACTGGGATAGCTAACCAATCACATCACATTTCGTTTTTCGGAAGGCGGGCCTTCATCAAACCCGGAACAAATCGAGCCGTTTGTGCCAGGATGGGGAGAAAGGTATTGTAATGTAAATACAGCATTACACTAATGAGAATGACTTCAGAATTACAGTAATAAAATGTGTTAGTTATTTTATCTGTTATATAATTGCTGTAATGCAATGAAATGAAATAAAATAGGCTTAATTTTCAACAGGCAAAATATTCATTATTCATTTCCAGTGATTTTGACAATGATCGGGATATGATTTTGACAAGTAATATGATATTTACCCTCTTGTACTTTAATACATACAAGCTCTCTCTGACCATCACCAATAATAATAATAATGTTTTCAAAAAAGAATACAGAAAAATAGTGGTGATTAACTTTTTAATTTTGCTGCCGTGTACTTAAGTTTGATGGTCAAGCGGTGTGCAGTTCTGTCTATGAATATCAGTTATGCGCGTCTGAATGTATTTGTTAGTCTCTCACCTGTTATACTGACCCAGGAGCTGCTCCATCGCAGTAATGTGCTTCAGTTTGTGCAGGAACCATTTGTCTATGGCAGTGAGGTCATGGATCTGATCAACGGTCACACCACTGTGAAGGGCCTTGAGAAACAGAACAATCAACAATGCCTCAAATCAGCATGCAATACTATAAATGGCATGAACATAAACAGGCTTTTCTAATAAATGATTGTGATCTACAAGAAATTGTTGGGTCATTGTTAAATGAGAAATAATGGCTCTTGATTGTTGGCTGTTAGCCTGTGGTGTCCCTTGAATACAGAGCAAAGCCCAATGAGCTGTAACTGGCTGTTGCCATAGACGGGCTTCTGGCCAATCGGGACACAGCACTTAATAGCCTGTCTGCTTAATAGGAGGCATAACCTGCTCTGAATGAAATGATGTGCCTGGAGACTAACATCAAAGTAACATCCAGTACTACAAGCGAGACCAACCTTGAGAGTTATTGATGTCTCATGTCTTGATAGGATTTGCCCTATTATTCCTTAATAAATCTGCCAACATCAACGTGTTCATTTGACACTCACATGACACATTGACGAAAAGTAGACCGTTTTCTCTTTAGGCAGACAGGTAATTTGAATTTTTAATGAATGCCCAGGAGATACAGAAGGGTGTTGTATCAACCTGAAGGGGGTTATTTTGCACACACACTGACACAAAACATTGATTTAAATGTAAACAGAAAAATGAGAGAGGAAACAGTTCACTTAGAACCTAGGAAATCGGTGACAATAGGATAATTCTACACTTAAGTGGTCTTACAAAACTAAAATATTTGACCACAAAATTCTGTGACTAACCAATCAGAATCAAGGATTTCATAAAATAATTCTTTAAAATTAAGGTTTACGTGATCTTAAACTCCCAAAGGATATTTACCTGACCTTTTGCACTGAATTACTATCTCCTAACGTAGTTTTGCCATTTTCTTTGGCTCGGGAATCAACTCTGATGAATATATCATAGTTAATTGCATTCAATTTAGTAAATTTTTATAGTATTATAAAATTGTATCCAGATAATTTTAGCTAAAACAGGACACAATCAATTAAACTACCTTTCAAAAGTGTGGGGTCAGTACATTTTTTTTAATGTTTCTGAATATTTTTAATGTCTCTTATGCTCACCAAGGCTGTATTTGACAAATGCAGTAAAAAAAAAAGTAATATTTTGAAATATTGTTACAATTTTAAATAATCTATTTCAATATTATATATTCAATAGATTACTTTAAAATGTAATTTATTTCTGTAATGGTCAAGCTGAATGGTGAAGCTTTCATCAGCCATTACATTTACATTACTCTTACATTTATTTGTATTATCGATATTGAAAACAGTTTTGCAACCTACTATTTTTGTGGAAACCATGAAACATTTTTTCCAGGATTCTTTAATATAAAGTTCAAAAGAACAGCATTTATAGATATTTGTACAGTAATTTTGATCAACTGAATGCATCCTTGCTGAATAAAAGATAAAAGTATTAATTTCTTTAAAAAAATTATAATAATAAAACATACTGACCCCAAACTTCTATATGGTAGAGTATATACACCATCTAACCTGGACACAAAGGGTTAGGACAGATGTAAAAACTGCTGTCTCATTGATTCATAAATCATGAGCCTGAATTAAACATGGCTGTTATATTGACTCGAACACAATCAGAATCTATCATCTAGACACTAATGCACTTCTCTTAATGCTCTGGGTCACACCTGGGCGAGGGAGAAGATACGAGTACTTGAAGGCAGCGATAGCTCTCGCTGAAGGTCTCTCTGCTCTGCCCAGGCTCTTTTCAGAGGCAGACGCGGTACAAAGCCGTCCACTGAGGGGTGGCACATACGCAAAGCCTTCTGGATGCTCTCCTCAAAGGTTCGGCCAACTGCCATGACCTGTGAGGGGAGGAAAATTAGAGGTTGGAGACAGAAGTCTTTCTATTTCTGTAAGTCAACAGCACTGAATTAACTGTGATACAGACATAAATAAAATTGGCAACGAAGGATCAAAATCATAATTTGGTTCTGGATTAGTTTTAATCTGTGTTAGAAAGCAGCAGTGTTCAGTCGCCATGGCAACTCACACCTCTCCAACACTCTTCATGGCACTGCCGATCTCCCGAGACATCCCGTGGAAACGGTCCAGATCCCAGCGAGGTATTTTGGTGACAATATAATCCAAACTGGGCTCAAAACAGGCCGTGGTCTGCTCCGACACTGCATTCTTTATGTCCGGCAGTGGGATGCCGAGTGCTAGTTTAGCAGCTACAAATGCTAGCGGATACCTAGTGAGAAAGAGTCAGAAAGTAGAGTAACGTTTTCTACAATAATAAAACAATAGTAACTGCAGCTTATATTCATTAAATATGAAAAACTTTTTAAATGTCACTGCTGTCTAGGAGAAACAGTTGAGATATTTCATGGAGAGCAAATTGTGACTTTTGTCATTTCATTTCACTTGTGTCTCCTTCTCGAGTTTCAGAAAGATCTCAGCAGCGTCTCAAACCGTGTTCCAGTTTGTCAAGATACCAAAAATGCTATACATTTCCAAGACCAAACTATCTAAGCTATGCCATTTATTTATAACCTCCATTCACTTTCTGTATGTCAACCATTATCTAATTTGTGACTACTTGTATTTCTATTAAAGAATTAACAGCTGTTTAAAAAAAGAAAAGTACCTAAATTAATAATCTTAAATAAAATTACTTAATTTTTCCTCTTGAGATTTAGTAATAAACCTGCCCTCAGTAGTTTAAAGAACAATGCTTTCCAAAAAACTCTCCATAGTGATTTGTAGGGGGAAAAAATTGCTCCACAAGGTATTAAAACTATTTTTGCCTCTTCACACTGATCTTTTTATAAAACAACAAAATCTGTTCTGTTTATTCCACACAATTTGTGTCTTCTTACAGAGCGTGTGGCATCAATAATTTCAAAGGATATGGATTAATTTCACACTGAACAGACAGAGTGGTGGGTGGGTGTTTTTTAGAGTCTGGCTCTCAACATACACAGAACTTTGGCTGCAGTCAGTTCTCAATATTTTGGTGACAAAAAAAAAAACGCAAAACCAACGACGGTGTGAAACTGACACCTTTAGCTGATCACAGAGAAACGTCTGTTTTGCAGGTAAAACTCTAACCAAGCCAAAGAATGTACTCTTAAATCTGTATCTATACAGTGTTAAATGAACTCAAATACAATGCAGTGAGGTCCCTAAAGACATAACTAAGCACCCATAATGCTTGCATACCTATATACAGTACTTTAAAAATACTGACATATCATCTCACCCTGTGGCTTTGGACGCCAGTGCTGAGCTTCTGGAGAGGCGGGCATTCACCTCAATGATACAGTACTCCAGAGAGGACGGATGCAGGGCATACTGGATATTGCACTCTCCCACAATGCCCAGATGACGCACTACTTTAATAGCAGTCTCTCTCAGCATGTGGTATTCCTCATTGGACAGAGTCTGGCTGGGTGCAACCATGATGGAGTCACCTTTGGGATGACCAGAAAGGGCTATTAACTGAAGCTCTTGAGAATTTACAATGCATGTCCTCATGCGATGTAACTGGTGTTTAAACTCACATGGCTTTATGGGTTATGAATATGGATGCGTGCATGCAGGGGTCAATGTCAAGGACGATGAAAAGGAGAAAAAAAATCTTGTTTAACGCATGTACCACGTTCTTAAAAATATAATTTTTGATTTCATTTAAAAAAATGGGAAATAAATTCTCAAAAACAGTTTTGATTTAATGACTACATTAAAAACAGTCAAATAATGTAACCATTGAGGTAAAAAAGTACTAAAATGCTTTCCTTACACCCTGAATACATGCAAGTCTTGATCAATATTTTCAAAATGATTTCATTTTTAATTTCTTTTTTTATTATCAATATAAGTGGAGTTTTCTGAATGGAAAATTAATTCCATTTGACAACCTAAACTAACCTTATAATGTGTTATATTAATATAAATATATTTAATTAAAGGCTTAAAATGTAAACATATTTCAAATATTATAATAGATTTAAAATGTGTACTAAAAAAAAATTCTCAAATATATAATTTCATTTTTTTTTTTATAACACAAAAAACAAACCTCACCTCTTTATTTTCAGAATAATGTAACAAAACATTGAGCATAACATCACTAACCTGCAAGCAAGATCATGTTCTACATAGACAGTATGGTACCTGTATGGATACCCAGAGGGTCAAAGTTCTCCATATTGCAGACAGTGACGCAGTTATCAGCAACATCTCTAACCACCTCATATTCCACTTCCTTCCAGCCCAGCAGGGACTTTTCCACCAGGATCTGGCTGCTCATGGCCAGGGCCTGTAACAGAACAGAGCAAGAGTGAATGGACTTAACCCACTTTCATGATGCCAAACCATCTCGAAAGCAGTCATATCAAGAGGAATCAAATTTTCCTTGATCTTCTAGAGGTAAAAGAGTGTGCTATGAACACATACCCTAGCTTTCAGAACTCAATTTCATACCCAGTGAAAAAAACAGCATTTATTGAGACTTTAAGCTACAAAAAAGCGGGTTTATTGATAGATGAAGCAGTTAAAAATTCTATTGGACCCGACAGCAGACAAATAAGTTAAAAATGTATTTTAGTGTCTTTAAAACATGAAAGGTGAAAAAAAAGTCCATTTAAAAATAGTTAAAATATTTGGCACAAAAAAACTAATATTATTAGTGGACATTGGTGAAAAAAATAAAAACTATTTTTAGTGTATATAAAATATAAAAATGTATAAGTTATATAAAATATATAAAACATCAAACAACCTTTAATAAACCTCTCTTTGTTCAGGAACAAACATTAAGCTTTCTTGCCCTATACCTGATCATAAAGCAGATAACTTTTAAATTCAGAGCACCAGCATTAATGGAATGAATTAACATCATGTTATTTCATGTTTTACAGTGCTTACCTTGCGAGCAGTGTCCTCTAGCTTCTCTTTATTAGCACACAGGCCTGAGCCAAGGCCGCCCAGGGCATAAGCTGATCTCAGCATGACAGGGTAGCCAATCTCATCTGCTGCCTTCAAGGCATCTGCCACCTTCCAGACAAAAACGGTTATCAGTAAAATAATCACCAACAAAAATCTTTTCAAACAGTGTCCAAACGTAGCATCTACAACAGGGCTGTCCAAACTCGGTCCTGGAGGGCAGGTGTCCTGCAGAGTTTAGCTCCAACCCTAATTAAACACACCTGAACCAGCTAATCAAGCTCTTACTAGGCATAGAAACTTCCAGTCAGGTGTGTTGAGGCAAGTTGGAGCTAAACTCTGCAGGACCGAGTTTGGACAGCCCTGATCTACAATGAAAGGTTTTTGGAATCACAACTTGTGAGCAGTGACACATTTTGCAAATATCCATCTCACTGTTTTAACAGCCATACTGGGAGCAATTTTTTCATTGATCCCCATTAGTTTGTCTGAAAAGAGTTGCCGGTCCTCAGTGGCCATGATGGACTCCACAGGTGTGCCCAAAACTTGCACTCCATACTTCTGCAGGACGCCACTCTGAAAGAGCTCCACCCCTGACACAATGGACAGGAACATAATGCACCATCAATCAAGCCTTTCAGTGTTGGTGAATTTGATCAAGTTTGATGCTGAATGCTCACCGCAGTTGAGAGCCGTCTGTCCTCCCATGGAGAGCAGGATGCCGTCGGGTCTCTCTACCTTGATCACCTCTGTTACAAACTCAGGAGTGATGGGCAGGAAGTACACAGAGTCTGCCTGCTTGGTGCCAACCTCGTTAGTCTGTACCGAGGCAATGTTGGGGTTAATCAGCACAGTTTGTAGGTTTTCCTCCTGTAGACAGAAACAAGGAATAAGAAACACTGCTGTGAGCAAGAACACCTGTACTGTGGCTTCAAGTAGGTCAGTGGTTCTCAAACTGTGGTACACGATGTGATTGTGGAAAATGTACAACTCTTTTCTGGAAAATGTTACAATTTAAAAAAAAAAAAAAAAACCTAAAAATATTTGAAAAAATAAACTAGGCTACATATACATATAGTGAACACACACACTGATGTTGTTATTGTTACCTAAAACTAAAAATATTTATAAAAAAAAAATTGAATTAAAGCCAAAATAAAATAAAATATTTAAATTACATGAAAAGAATCTAATTTAGAAATTTTGCCTTGGAAACTAATTGAAAAGTTTAATTACTAAAACTGCTAAAACAAAAACAAAAAATTTATAAAAATAAATTTGCACTGAAACAAAATCTAATAAAAATGACAAAAGCACATAACAAAATGATTAAAACTGAAAGTAAAAATAAAATTAAAATATAAAAATAAGGGGGGAAAATTACTAAACACTGTTATTTTAGTATTATTTATATACTAATACTGACAAAGACTCACCAAAAGCCAGGAAAAAAAAACTCAGAGAGATTTCAGAGATTTTCAGAATTGATAATAATAAAAAATATGGCATTATGTGTGTTACTAACAGGCCTTAAATTTGCCCTGCCATTTTGTTTTGGATGCTGATGTGCTAGTGTCCCAACTAGCTTTACCAGCAAGCATTTTTGTTGATGAACAACGCATCTAAGGGTAGCAAAGCTGCAAAAAAAACTAGCACTAACTAGCTTACTATACTCCATCTTGAACCTGCATAGAAATTTATGCAAAGGCCTAAACCAGTGGTCTCAAACTCAATTCCTGGAGAGCCACAGCTCTGCAGAGTTTAGCTCCAACTCACACCTGCTTGGAAGTTTCTAGTAATCCTGAAGACCTTGATTAGCTGGATCAGGTGTGTTTGATTAGGGTTGGAGCTAAACTGTTCAGAGCTGTGGCCCTCCAGGAATTGAGTTTGAGACCAATGGCCTAAGTGTTTTTTGTCAACAAAATGTGCTCAAAAAGACTCTATTTGCTGCTAATGGTTAAAAAAAAAAACTCAGGGCAAGAATGTCTGTGGAAAGGTGATACTTGGATGATCTGATCTGATCAAAGGTGGTACTTGGCCTGAAAGGTCCGAAAAGTACTGAATTTATTGAAAAGAGGCACAACTAGCAGAGATTAACAAAACTTCTCACCTTCATAGCTTTAACAGCCTGGGATCCCGAGTAATCAAACTCTCCTGCCTGACCGATGGACAGGCCTCCAGATCCCAGCACCAACACTTTAGACACCTGGGAAAAACAACAAAAAAGTACCTGTATCTGTACTCAACACCATAATAAAGTACCTATCCTATCCTATGCAGACAGGACATCCAACTTATGTAGTTTGTCTCCCCCACCTGGATTCTCTGAGGAACAGCAGGTTTCTTTGGCATCACAGATGCCACGCTCCCCCTCCTTCCCATTCCTTATCAGAGAGATGAAAGCATCAAACAGGAACTATAAAAGATAATTGAAGAAAGTGCTCAAGTACACTGGTTGGTTTTTAATGAAATAATCAGCACCCTGCTGTGTAGGGCAGCCATGTATGAATCCCTACAGAGGATTCAACACAACATGATCAAGAGAGAACATTCAGCCATGAAAAACAAAAAAGATCAGACTCTTCACGATCCTCTGACAGTGCTGCGGTACTCTGTGTCTGTGGGTCCTCCTTTGGCCTCGGGGTGGAACTGAGCTGTGAACACTGGCTTGGTTTTATGCATAATGCCCTGAAAGAGAGAAAGAGAAAACAGTGTTAGGCTCTAACCCAGGTTCCACTCAAAACAAAACAAAGCTTTTTACACATATAAAGCTTTTCTAAACAACCTAAGAGTTCATTTGGAATAACCATTAAACCAATGCTGAGGTATGTTACTTTAACAGCAAAATGCATTACTAAAAAACCTTCCAAGCTCTTGCAATTAATTTTTCACCAGGCAGTCACAGTTCAAGCAAAAGTTCACACAACAATGAAAAACTTTTCATTACTTATGAAAGTAAGTATCTTTTTTTTTTTTTTGGAGCCTGACAGACAGAGTCCCTGTTACTGACATTATATTAAAAAAGCCAACCCAAAAATCCACATTTTCACCCGTATTACATGGAAGAGAGAAAGTCTTTCGTTTGGAACGACACAGGGGTGGTTAAATTATGAACAATTCAATCCAGACCTCATTGGTTCCATCATTTGCATTGATGAAGAGAGGACTCCAGCCTGGAGGAAGGGACTCGCTGTCTATGCCATACCCATGATTCTGAGCTGTGATGAAAGCTTGGCCCGTCATCACGTTCACAACTGGCTGGTTTTGGCCCCTGTACAAAATGAGAAAAAAAAATTGTATTAGTCTAAGGACACAAACGACAAAAGTTAAGTTTTCTCTTCTTCTGCCAGAATAATTTTGCATTGTATTTCATTCCCAGACACACATTATAACAAATTTGACATATAATCAGTAAATTATGGTCTATTTACCATAAAATATGTTGTATAATAATAATTTGTACCTGTTTCCCATTGGTAGTTTATAAGGCTGTGCACCAGCTGCCAACGCTGTGATTTGATTCCCCATACAAATACCAAACACTGGCTGAGGACGATCAGTTTCCAGCACCTGACAGTCATTATGATGGCAGGATGAAAGATAAACATAGTGTGACAATTTATTGATTTTCAAATATCCATATTAGTTAGTGTGGCTGAATTTAATCTTTTTTTCATTTGTTTTTCAATTTAAATAATAGTCAGTGCCAGCTGTTGTTCGCAACCCACTTTACTTCTGTAATATGACATAAGAAAATTGACTATTGGTTACCAGAATGGCTTAATTAAATGTCATTTCAGATGAAAGATGTTTTCTTTTTTTTTTAAATAACATGCACAGATGACAATGCTATCTTTCATTCTGTACCTTGCGGACATTTTGAATCAGGGTCTTTGCCAGTGAAGGATCTCCTGGGCCGTTGGAGATGAAGAGACCGTCATACTCCAAACTCATCAGGTCTTGGTCCCATGGCACTAAATGCACTTCTGCTCCACGCTAGGATATAAAAATGAAAAGTCTTGAAATATTGCCTGTTGCTTCCACATCTTTCTAGGGGGAGAGACCACAATTCCTTACCTTGACAAGTAGTCTTATAATGTTGTGCTTGATTCCACAATCAACAGCAACCACTTTGATAGGATTGCCTTTCCCAAACACTTGAATATCCTTAAAGCAGGAAAAGTCATGGTGAACACTCACTGAAAATGTAATGCACAGCAAATTGACCAAGCATGCTGGTTACCTTGGTTGAGACCTCAGCTACGAGATTTCTCTGGTTTGGGTCTGTGATCTCCACCGGCTGTCCATCAAATTCAATCTTCCCCAAAACGGTACCCTTATTCGAAGAAAAACAATAGGAACCTTCAGAATGTATTTAAAGCATCATTCTGGACAAACTGCATACTTCAAAGTAGTATGCTGACCTTGTCTCTAATGATCTTTGTTAGCATCCTGGTATCTATCCCAAAAAGAGCCGGCACCTGCAAGCACAGGGAAAAAAGATATGCTTTTAATACTTACTGTGGAAGTGAGTAGAAATTAGAATATGTGGAAACCCACCTTCTCCTCTTGAAGCCACTGTGCCAGTGATTTGACAGAGTTCCAGTGACTGTACTCAGAACTGTAGTCCTGAACCAGCAGTCCTGACACCTTCCAGCAACAAAATATATGGAAAGATAAGGGTTAAATATACACTAATATTTGCGTATAAATGCTTTTACAGAAGTCTCAAAGTCACAAAGGCTAAAATTATGTAATCAAAAATACAGGGAAAAAAACAATATTGTGAAAAAGTATTACAATTTAAAACAACTGAAGACTGGACTAATGGCAGCTGAAAATTCAACTTTGGCATCAAAGTAATAAATTAAATTTTAAAATATATTAAAGGGGTCAGATGTTCTTTTTAGCAGCATCATATGACCCCTTTAACATATAAAACTGTTATTTTAAATTGTATGTATTTGGCAGATGATTGTATCTAAAAATGACTTATACTGCATTCCAGGTATATATTTTGTCATTTTGTGCATTCCATAAGGAATCAAACTCGTGATCGTGTCATTGCTAGTACCTGAATGCGATCAGACTCCACATTTTTCTTCAATCCCAGCTCATCCAGTTGCTGTGTATTAGGAACACCGTAGTTTCCAACAATGGTGTAGGTGAGGGTCAGGATCTGCCCTCTGTAACTGGGGTCTGTCAGAGCCTCAGGATAGCTGGAGATCATACACAAACTTTAAGACCATACTTTTTATATTAAAAGCTAATATGATAATCTCAAAACTACAAAAGGAAACTGGAAATACTGACTTGACAAAATAAATAAATAAAGCATTTAGGTGTTATGTAGCTAAAACTTTTGAGAAGAGATTTTAACTTTGAAAACTATGTGGCTGCAAGAGCGTTCTGGATGGCTGGTAGACTGATGCCAGGCTGAAGGACTTGAACACTTGAAAGATTTAGGAGGAGTTACAGCTGAAGTATTTGGACTCGGGTTAGAAAATGTTTTTACATGATTGTTGCCAGTGATTTGTCATCAGGGAAGTTGTCTCTTTTGCCAAAACACTATGACCATATTCAGAGGGTCCCTTCTTACCCAACTAGTCCAGTGTTGAAGACCAGCTCTCCAGCTGCAGAGTGATCATGGCCGAAAGAGTAGCCCTTCATCTTTGTGCCATCTTCAAGCACCAAGTGCGCAGTCTGAGCCTGGAAATCAGACTGTATTTAAGAGCAACAAATGTGTGGATTCATGATACACAACAAGCAAATGTAAGGCAGACTGTCAGTTTTCCCCAAAACTTCTTTACCTCGTATCACTCAACCAATTAACTCAGTTAACACACCTTCATGCTGAGCAATCTTGTCGAAGTTCTCCAGTTGCGCCATCCCAGCCTCAATGATTTGGCAACTCCACAGACTGTTAAGATTTTTGACATATTCTGTCCAGAAGTTTTCTTTTCTCCTTAATAATATGCGCTATTGTCAAACTGCCTGTGAATATCAACTATGAAAGGGTTTTTAAAATGTCCATGAACTGGTGAATGCAGCGCGCTCTGTTCACCTGCTGCCGCTGTGAGTGAAGTTGTAAATCAGCTCTGGAGCGCGAGAGTCTCATTCTCATCGCTTACTCAACGCGCTGTGCTCTGATTGGCCAGTTTGACTTCGATGGCTGAAGACGATAATCAGCGTTTTAAATCTGTAAATCATGTTCAGTTTAGGCCTCCATATGAAATAATTCAACACTACACAACTCTAATTTTAAGATATATTTTCAAATATATTACTATGAAAACTTGAAACTAAAACTAAAACCTTTAAAATCTTTTCGTTTAATAAAAAAAACCTGAAATAAAATAAAATGATTGATGAAAAATCTAAACTTATAAAACGAAAACTAGATATTTTGCCTAACTGAAATAAGTCTGTTGAAATACTTACATTTCTAAAAACTCAATTTAAAATAAAAAACTCATACTCAACTAATAGAAATGACAAAACATAACAAATCATTAAAACTAAAACTAAAATGAAAACTGAAAATATAAAAAATTAAAGCTAATTCAAAATATTAATAAATACTGTAATAGTATATAATAATACTAAAATAAGAATGATTAATAGCATTAATGCAGTTTTATTATGGTAACTGCATGGCAACATTTATAGTAAGTTGATTTGATAACAACATCTATTAAAACCCTTGTGTGGTCTTCGGTCACTTCTGACCGGAGAATTTTACATTTTAAATTTTTAAAAATCGTAGCTTCACCAGAATGGTACGAAACTTGGTGACTTTTATGGCACTTGGTATGTGAACACAAAAAAAATTTGAGGGAGAGTGAAGATTCAATTAAGCTGATGGATGTGCATTGGGATTGGGCAACACTTTTGTGAAATACCAGCACCGTCTGTTGCCTGTTTGAAAAAACATGTGAATGAAAGGCAAAAGGGGAATTTTTAATTTTGTTAGTAAAAACTTGATGCTGACTCTAATATGACATCTAAACATTTAACCCTTCTGCGGTCTTTGGTCACTTCTGACTGGAGAATTTAACATTTTGAATTTTTTAAAATCGTAGCTTTACCGGAATGGTACGAAACTTGGTATGTGAAATTTATTTGAGGGCATGATTTGAAAAAGCTAAGTGGTCGTAAAAAAATAGTCACACTCATGGTCTTCGGTCAAAAATGACCGACCATAGGAAATGAATGGGAAATGGGGGAAAAAATCGAGTGTCAAACAGCTTCATCCACTCACACACACTTACACACACTCAGACACACACATACAGAATTATACTCAAAATGAATTGGTATGGCTATAACCATATAGCCAAAATGAGTCAGAAGACTGAAATAAGAGGTTAAAATCAGATCAGACCCAGAAGGATTAAGCTCTGATAAAGCATTCCTGTTAATTTTTGTTACATTTTTATAGAATTTTAATGTTTTGTGTAACAAAATGCATTCAGGTTTGAATGTAGTAATAATAATGCAAAAACCTACACTTCAAATCAACATTTAAAACAACAAAAAAATATAAACCTTGACAAAAAGTAGTCTTTGAAAATGCCTTAATATTAGGGGTGTAACGATATGCTCAGGTCACGATACGGTACAT